GATTTGGATTTGGCCAAATCAAATCAGGACAGTGATCCGAATCAATGAATCAAATCAGTGTCCCCCAGATTGGGCAGAATCCAAATTGAATATGGCCCACTTCGCATACCCCTAATAACTACCTATTGCCCAAGGCTCCAGCACAAGTATGCATGGCATTCCTACCCATCCTACAGAACTGAAATGCAGATAATATACTAGATGGACAAGGGGCAAGAATAAACATAGTCTTCCTATGGTGCAACAAATTATTTGAGATGTAGGATAAGAATTGCCAACAGCTGTATTGGCTACTGGTTGTAAAAATCAGCAATAACTTGTTTAACTTTTGAAATAGACTAGTTGATAGATGAGTACTCACTACAGAAATCAAATACGCTTTACATTTTTTATGTTGGGAGAACTTGTTATTTTACTGGTTTAGCAGTAGACACAATGCAAAATGTCTTGTTCTGTGTCTTGAGATGCTTCAGACTAGTTCTCACTGAATGTCTTTTTCTTGTAATGGGGAAAATGGTTTCTTTGTCTTCCCACTGATATGTAGGGCTAGGATCCAGAATGACATGGAGAAATGATCCAAAATCAGTCAGGTGAAATTCAGCAAGGACAAGTGCAAAGTCCTGAGTTGGGATTGAATAATTGCATGCATAAATATAGGCTGGGGAATGATTGGATAGGCAAAAGTAGTACAAAGAAGGACCTGGGAGTTATAGTAGACCATAAACTGAGTACAGGCAGACCTTGGACTTATGACACAATTGGTTCCTGAAAACTATCTTAAGCCAAAACGTTGTAACTTGGAACCAATTGTCTCACAGGAAACTGTTATAAATGAGAGATTGGTTCCTGAACCAAGGCCCGATACCCTATTTTCAACAAAAATACCCCGAAATGTTGTACTCTCTCAATTATAGATGAGTAATGTAGCTACATTAATGCATTTATATTGTAAATAGCAATCGTATTGATTTGGATGAACTTCTTTTAGGTGACTTTGCTGGACTTTTTGAAAGGCTCTTGGTTGGACTTTTTGAAGGGTTCTTGGCTGGAGTCTTCTTCAGGGGACTTGGCTGCAGGCTTTTCTGGAGTCTTGTCTGCTTCCTTAAAGGAAGTGTCCAAGGAAGTTTGGACAGCTGTTCTCCAGGGAGATGGGTGATGAAGCAAACGTGTTCATTGGTGTGGCATTGCATTGGATCAAGTGTTGTAAAGTCGAAACTGGTGTTTTAAAGTTGAAACGGGGTGTCAATTTATAAATGTTGCAAGTGCGAAACATTGTAACGCAAAACATTGTAAGTCGAGGACTGCCTGTATAAGCAAACGATATGCCCTTTCTGGAAAAAACCCAATCACATACTGGGTTGCATTAGCAGGAGTGACGCTTGCAAATCAAGGGAAGTGATTCTTTTGTTTTACTCAGTAGTAAAGTAAGGTCTCACCTGGAGTACTGTGTCCAGTTTTGGCCCCAGTCTTCAAGAAAGATGTAGACAGTTTAGAAAGAGTCCAGCACAGAGTGAATACAATCATTAGGAGCCTGAGAAGTACGACTTCTGAGGAAAGACTGAAAGAACTAGGGCTATTTAGTTTAGAGAAGAGAAGACTATGGGGAGATGGAAGATGTGATAAGTCGTCAAACACCTCAAGGGTGATTTTGGAGAGAATGGAGATGTGCTTTCCTCTGTGGCCATAGGGAACAAAACTAGGAGCAATGGCCTCAGGCACCTATCTGACTATGAAGGTAGTCAAACATTGGAACAGGGTACCTAGAGAAGTTGTGGAATCTCCATCCCTGGTAATTTTCAAGAGCAGATTAGGCAGACATTTTACTAGGATAGTTTATTTAGGAGTAATCTTGCCTTGCCCAGGGGTTAGACTAGATGACCATGTGGGGTCCCTTCCAGCCTTGCTTTCCTAAGTTCCTAGGACTTTAATTTGAAAGGTGTATATGTCCATGAGCAACAGTATGGGAACAGACTTAGAAAATGTAATGACTAACAAAGATAAGGAGGAACATAGGAAGTAAAATGAGCAACGAGAAGTATTGTACATGTGCATGTTGTTATTTTCAAAATGTCCTTTGATAGCTCGACATAAAAGGTTTCTGGAACAAAATCAGTCTTTCTGTTCTGTTTGAACATGGGGATGGCATGATATACAACTTTGAATCTAAGGTGTTACCAAAATACAAATTATAACATATATTGACTCTTGCATTGGTTATGATTTTTAAAAATGCTAATAAGAGGTGCTATAGCGTAAAGGTGTATAGGAACATGGCTAATTCTACCTTCTGGAAGTTAAGAGCAGTGTAGGAAGGAATAAATCATGAACTGTATTGGTGTCTGTCTGCTTGAACACTGAAAAACGGTGGACCCAGAACTCTAATTATGGCTTGGAGTAGGATGAAATTAAAAGAAAAAAATGTGGATAATATTCAGATGGAGGAAAGTGAAATCTTAAGAGACTTATGTTTTTGTATTATCTAAAAAAAATTCTGGAATCTGACACTTAAGGTACAAACAGATGTCACCCTTGTGCTGCCATAAAAATTATGGCGGCACAAGTTGCGAGTGAGCAGACATGCTAGTCTTTTGTTTTACTCGTAAAGTGCCCCCCCCCCCCAAATTGTGCAACCTAAAGTAGTGACAATTTATGGTGCTTTAAATGGGGATGTCTGTTTGCTTATTGTGTGCAACAATAATTCCGCTTCGGGGAATCCCTCTGCGTGTATATTGGGCTGCCATGCCACAACTCCAGGTAGGTATCTCCAACTGGGGAAACCCACATGGATCCCCCACTTGCAGATGTGTACTGCAGGAATCTTTTGCAGGGCACACCTATGGTGCTTGTATCTCATGGACACACCCTGACTTGGGGCAGCCAGCAGATGTGTACCCCAAATCAGGGTGTGGCAGCAAGATGCTTGCACCACAGGGATCCCCCCCACAGGGCATGTTCTGACAGCTGATTCTGCTCCAAAGATGCTGTCTGTTGATAGCCTTACATAACTAAACTACAGGCCAAAGGGCAAACCAGTATTATAGGAACCTACAGAGAAATAGCCTGCATTAGCAGGGTGACTGGTTGTTTAATCCCATTAATTAAACAGATAGAAGCACTCATTTTTAAGTGGTTGTCCTTACTACTTTATGATTGTCTTCCTCTCTGATTTTTACTTTATTGTCCTTCATTTCTAAATTTGCACACCAGCCAAACACATGGATATTTCTTTTTGGTAAAGAACAACTGAAGTAAATTCTACTTCTAGACCTGTGGTTCCCAAACTCCTTTTCCCCGATGGCAATCCAAATACTTGTCCCAGTCCAACCATTATAATTGAGTTTGAGGCTTATGATCCCAATTGTTAAGTACTGGAGCCTGTTTGGGAGCTATTACTTTAGACCTAAATACGTTGTCCTATTTTTAATCTGAGTTCTCATTGCACCTGAGCTATTTTTACTTGATTTGGGAGAGGTGGAAAAGCAATAGAAGTAATGTGATGAGAAGGTAAAAAAGTGATTGACCAGGGTCTGGTGACATGGAGAGTAATTAACTACTTCTTTATTTCATGGGGGATTTTTTTTTTTTTTTTATTGGCAGTTGTTACATGGGACCTCTGGTTATACACAATTGTCTAGCAGGATGGAGCCCTTATCTAGATTAAAGCCTTTGTGTTATCATTATGCTGATTTAATAACTAGATCAGAATGAAGTTCTCTATGCAAAAAATGAAATATACCTTCCATCTAAAGATTAAGTCACACAGGGTTCATCTACTTGTGTGCTTTACTGTGAGTGGCACTATCAGGCCAGAGTAAGCTAATTAACTCTGCTATAGGATAGTACTGCCTTACTCAAGTACTATCCTACAGTGGAGTTATTTACCATGTTGCAACACACATGTAGATTGTGACCAGGGCTGGTGCTACAATGCAGGGGCTGTCTGCCAGCCAACACCACACTGTAGCACCCTCATGCCCCAGCCAGCCCCTCTGCAGCATGCTAAACTGGGGTGGAGTGGCTGTAGGTTGGAAGCCTGATCCCCCTGCCCAGGTCCCATGCCAGCTGGGGCTGTGCCACCCTGGCTCAATGTGCTGAAATCCTGGGCACATGTGTAAACGCTGTGTTCAGGAGCAGTATACTCTGGCATGAACTGCACGAGAGTTTATTTGGTCACACCAATGGCACATATAGATGTACCCACAGTAAGTCAGAGCTGGCATTAAAATTCAAGAGTTCTTGCTTCCCAGCCTTATGCTCTGATGCACTAGATTGGGTTGCCCTTGTATAGCTTTCTTCTAGCAAAGGAACTCTAGGAATCCTCTGAGAACCAAAGTGTATGGGTATCTGTCAAAGAACTAAACCTCCCAAACGTCTTAGATGGTCAGAAGCCCTTGAGGTTCAAAACAAAAATAGGTTCAAACTCTGTCTTTTTCAGGTATGATAAGCCTAAAAGACAGCAAAAATCACAACGAGGGCCCACTTTTTTTGAACAGCAATTCCTTGTCTGACTTCCCTTAGACTTTTCATTTTTTTTAAATTGTAAGAGCTCATGTTATTTTCAGTGGCTGTGTTTGAAACTGGCAAACTTGGGGTTGACCTATAGTCAAGATTATACTTTATAGTTAAAATCTAACTTCAATCAAGAACAGTGATTTTTTTCCCCCCACAACAGATTTAACTGTTTTAAAATTTATTTTAGGCACTGGCAGTAAAATAGTCATGGTAAAATTCCCTTGTCTGAATTAAGTTGAAGCAGGGATCACTCTCTAACCACTGTGTTGAGATTAGTTTTGGAGTCTGATCTGTAATGAACAGATAATTCTATTTATTGAATCTGATCCAGTACTATGAAGGAGTACCAAGTGGAAAAATGTGTGCTTGCTTTTTGTTTTTCAGTTCCCACTTTCTCTAGATGTTATCGAGAAAATAACTAAAATATTTTACTATGTATTTAATTAAAATTATAATATGTAGCAGTAATACCTATTTTAAAATTGCAGATGGTTGGAATCCATTTTCACATCCATACCAAAAAATGGATTATGGCAAATGGGAGCTGTTCTTACCACCTGGACCAGATGGATTCCCACCTGTGCCCCACGGATCAAAATTGAAGGTATTTTATTTTTAAAATAAGCTTTGCAAGCTTTTATTTTAAGTTTATTTTTTGCAGTCCTCTAAACAGAGGCAACTTACTTTTATTTAATTTTGTTATAATTTTTCCTGGAAAACAGAGGATGAACACAAATAGTGTCTCCTAATATAAAGTGTCTGGAATGAGTACTATATTAATTTTTGTTACTTAATTTTTAAATCCAATAAGATCATGTTTTATTTGACCTATAGGCTGAGAAATAGATACAATGTGCTGTCTGTCACAATGTGAAAATAAATTTTCCGTGTACACAGTTCTGTTGGAATGAAATGTAAGAATGAGAATCAATAAATATAAATAATTTCTTGTTTTTATTTGGGATAATTCCCTTAATTTTTAAGATTTCCCTGGAATCTGTGTCCTTTCTTTTTCCTTCAGGGAGTTCTTTGTGAGGCTATAATACCACTAGAACTAGTCGTATCACTTTAGTTCTGTCATCTGGGAAGTAAAATACTATGAAAGACTCAGCTTATACGTTACTTTCTGCCACATAGATGGCTCCATGAGGCATAAGACTATGGAAGATGTTCAGCCATATTATAAAACTACAATACATAAATATTGTAGTACTGTAATTTGAATATACCCTATCAAATGTACTTAAAATGCATCTAAGGCCTGACCTATTGCCACTTATAGAAAAGGGTCCCACAGGGAGGAGCAATATAAGTATAGAAGGAACGGTGATACATTTTGTAAATTGTTTGACCTCTCAAGTAATATCATTGTGCAAAGAAAATATTTTATAATGTCACAAATGCACCTGGGCTGTACAAACAGATCATTTTTTAAAAAGTATTAAAAGGCTATTAAAATAAGTCAAAATATCAGAGTAGCAGCACTGAAAAATAGAATGAGATACAACGAGCAGGGTAAAAAATAATAATTTTACAGCAGATTAAACAAGTGAAGAAAGAATTAAGAAGCCATGGGGGAAGAATGGAATTAGCAGTTATTAAAGAGCAATATTTAAAACACTCATACATCCTCTCTCTCATACATGGAGACTGAGAGGATAGGAAAAAAAATGGATTATATAGGGCTTGGGATGTTGAAGAAATGATAGCGTCTTTCTAATAGTGGTATAGAAGAGAGCTGAGAGGGATTCAGAGAATGGTGTTTCAAAGTCAGGTTAGACAGGAATGCAGAACATAAAATTTCTGAGCTACAAGTCATAACTTCAAGCCACCCAAAAAAGGTGGAGTTAACGTAGGTGTTTGATTTTTTTTTTTTTTATTTATTTATTTTATATGTACATATAAGTGTTACTAGTAGATGCATAAAGAGCCAGGTGAAGGTTGGCTGGCAGGAAGGGCAATTATGAAAGCATTGATGAAAATATATCTAAAATACATACAAGTTAGTAACATCTGTCTCTGGTGCTTCCATTAGGTATAAAAAAAAATCAGTGAACTTCAGTAGAAAAACTGGAAGCAGGTATACTAAAACCAATTCAGCTACTTTTTACAAAAATTGTTCCGTGTTGGTAATTCATAGCCTTGCATTCAGTTTGCTTGTATGTCTGTCAAGCCATATTTGCTGAATGCAGATATTGACAATGCCAAGATCTGTGAACCTGCATAACTTTATGGCAAGGTGTAGCCATTTTCTAGTAGACTAAGAGAGTGTGTATTAAACCTTAAAGGAGGAATACAAGAGCAGAGAATGCATTCTGTTTGTGTGGCCTGCTTTACAACAAACTATTATCAGAATTCTATAGACTCAATTGTTAAGACTTGGCCAACTCAGCAACTATTCCATATACCTTAAAATGCTGGGACCCAGTAGTATCTCTATAAAGGTGCTTTTTTAAATATGATTCCTGGATTACCTTAAGTATAAAATGTGTGTGTAACCTTTACATTTTAGTGACCTTTTTTTCTTGAAGATTTTTCAGTTAATATCAGTCTAATATAGTAAATGCCATTCCCTCCCTTCATCTTGGAAGATCATATAATATTAATAGGTCTGTGTGTGGGTGGGTGGGTGTTTGGTTGTTTTTCTTTCCTCATTCCCCTCCTTGAAGTCTACCGGTAGCTTTGGAAACTTCAGATCCTGGTAAGTCACTTAGAAGCTAAATACAGATAGAGGGACAAATTGCCGCAGCACGTAAGTACTTAATCCACAGTGTAGTTAGTATATGTTTAGAAAATGTTGTTCTTACTGAAAAAGAATAAGAAGTTGAATTATCTCTTCTCAAAAGAAATCCCATGCTGTTTCCTGTTTAAAAAATGCAGTTATATCTATGTAGCTATCAGGTTTCCTAGATGGAATTAGGTTTTCAGTCATTGAGATACTTTGAGAACTTAACATACTATAGTCAGATTTTGGGAGTTTAAAGATGACAAATAAAAATCGGAGAAATACAATAAGCAGTTAGGAACGGGGAAAAACAACACCTCTTCTTTAAAACAAGTATAGTTTTGGAAAGATAAGAAACTAGCATATTCTGAAGAAGGAGGAGGATGTGTGCTAATTGGAGGAGGATTGCAAGAGCAGGTGCTGGGGACTGTCCATCCCCATGGCTGGAAGATTGAAGTCTTGTAGCTAATGGAACTTCCAGCCCTAGCTATGCCCCACACACAGGTGGGACTACAAATTCTGGCAGCTGTAGGACTTGCAGCCTTGGCTGTATCTAGGTTGCAGCTGGGCTTTCAAGTTCGCCATTTGCCAGTGCAGGGGGAGCCTGGGATAGCAATCCTGGGCTCTCCCTGTACTGGCAGTAAGGCATGATAGGATCTTATACTGGATCTCATAATCATGCCTCCTGCATTTGGTTCTATCATGCCTTTACCTGAATATGCAGGGGGTGGGGGCTGCTTAACTTTATAGCTGGATGAACCTTTTTATGGTGTAATAGTTACTTTGCAGGTATAACTGGTCTCATTTAATTGTGCAATTAAGCAGTTAATTGTGTAATCCATGTAATATGTAGAGGGCCTCAAGGTCTGGTCTTTAAATGTAAGAACACTAGAAAGTTGTTAAAGTATGATGTGATTCTATGCAATCTTCTGTATTTCCTTGACAAGGTAACATGAAAAATAAAAAACCTTACCTTGGGTAAATGTCTTAAGTAGCAACAGCTAAAGAAAAGAGCCTGCTCCTGAGCCTTCTGCTAGCCCTGCATGCTGACCTGATCTAGTGCACTAGGTCCCTATTGGTCTGGAAAATTGACAGAGAGGAGGAACACTAGAAAAGTTAATTGCCATGGCTCCCTGATGTATGGCAATTAATGCTTCCCTGCTGCCAGATTTCTGGACCCATGGGGATCCTCTTTTTCTTGTACATCATGTGCACTCAATTTCCACCAGCTATTTTTTGTGGAGATAGGTGCAAATTATATGAGAGAAAATATGGTATTCAGAATTTATGCACTTTTTTTCTTCATAATGGCATATAAAATCATTTTATTCTGGGCAACAAATATGGCTTCTTGCAAATTACAGCAAATGCAGGAGCCACGTTAAGTGTATGTAGGAATGTTCAGGATGCAAAGCAATACATACACTATAGAAACAAAATGAAAAGAAAAGAGATTGATGGATAAACAGCTGAGGTACAGCAATAACATAATGGTGAATGGACTTAAATAGTATTATTAAACATATTCAGTGTTTTAAAAAATCACAAGTGGGTGTGTGTTTATCTATATCTATATGAACACATACCAACATGCTCTAAATATTGCCACTTACAATGTCTACAGTGTCTATAGAACATAATAGCAGGTATAGAATTAGGCCATGTGTAGGCCAAATGAGGGGCATGTGTGCACAACACTTTAAAGTGGGCTAAATGTGTTTGCACTGCTTTAATGGTGTTGGTGTTTGCATGCCTAAGCGGCATATTGTGCATTAATTCCAGCTGCTGTAGGACATTCGGTGCCGTAATGCGCCTTAAATGACTTGGGGCACAGCAAACTAAAACTCCTCCGAGATGTTTTAGTTTGCTGCTCCTACAGCCATGAAACAAAGCACTAGGCTCTGTGCAGCTACACAGCTCTGCAGCAAGCTCTGCAGGGAGCTTGGCAGCAGCCTGGGAAAATGGTCTCCTCTCAAGAAAAGCAGCGAGCCTGATTATCCTCCCCTCCCCTGGAGCCTGCCTGCCTGCCTGACCTGCACAGGGGCCCGGTGCTTCCCTCCACGACTGCAGTGTCCCCCGGGACCGCTCGAGCCTGGTGCCTGCGGGTGGGTGCCACCTGGGGGTGGCCCACACCTGCCATGGAGGGAAGCACCAGCCCTGCCCAGAGACTGCTTTGCCCGCTGGCAGCTTTCCCTTTCCTCCCCACCTCTGGAGAGGCAGGGAAGTGTGGGGTGTGTGCACGACACGGTGGTTTACTTTTCCCTAAATTGAAGCAGTGGGTTTTTAAACCTACCGCTTCAGTTTAGGGCCCCCATTTCATCTACACACGTTCTTAGGCTCTAAAAAAAGGCAAAGGTAAATGCGCGCTGTGGTTTTGAAATAAAATTAAGCAAAGTTGAAATAATGTTGTAAGTAGTTATTCCAAGTAAAATATGTATATATCTGTGCATATTACTTGCAGTAACTACTTACAAAGTTCTTTTAACTTGTTCTTAATTTTTATTTCAAACTCACAAAGCACATTTATTTACCTTTGCCATTTTAGGGCCTAATTCTACAGCTGCTTTTATCTTCTATAGATACCAACACTATGGCTGCTTACAGGTATTTAAAAAAAAAAAATGCATGAATCAGCTATTAGATAAAAGTGCCAAAAATGCCTCACTAAAGCTTCCAATCTGCACAGATGGTGGGCAAGTCGCGTTCAACTAATGAGATGCCTCTTCGGGGTATGCGCTGGGCCTGGTGGAGGAACATGCTAAGCTTAAAGTAAAACACATTTTTTGGGTTTTTTGTTTTTTTGTTTAAACATCTGTAAGCATCCTGTAAGTGGCAATATTTAGAGTATGTTGGTATGTGTTCATATGTATAAAATATGTTTTTAAAAACATGGAATAGTTAAGTTGTTC